CGAGCTTAAAATTCACCATCTTTATTAACTTATCACAACCCTAAAAATATTGTCTCTGGTCCTATGAACAAAAAGAGGTGCAGATTAACACGAACGGATGAAAATGGAGGTTTTAAAATTGTGCAGAGCACCTGAGATGGTGTCCTGATTATGCGGGTTGTCACTGATCTTTTGTTTTAAGCTTAGGTTAAAAAGCGGGAGATATTTCAAACCGTCGTGAAGTTTAGGGTTCCATGGACAACTTGTCAGTTCCAAAGAAAAACGAAATGGTAGCTGGAAGCAGTTAAATAAGTTCCCTTTTGGCAGGGAGGAGACGACACATATTCAGAGAGAAAATGAACGCACAAAAACTGCGGGCGAGGAACATTTTCTGCTCTCTTTTTTCGTTTCGCGTCGAACTAATGCAAAGTAGCTATGATCCATTCTTAGTGTTAATTGATAAATATGTAAGCATTATTTCAATTAAGGATTTAGAAGTGTATTACAGTGTTTTGTCTTTGATATTGCTGCAGTTTTGTTTGAAGTGACAATAGCCGCTGTGAATTCTAGAAGAATTTACAAGTATTGAGTGAAAAAAAGGAGAAAAAAGAATTTAATCGAAGTGAAAAACAAATTACATGTAATGTTACCTTGTCTACAAATTTTCTAAACCACAAATCTATATATTCAAACACGGCTTTGTAAGTCTTAACCGGGTGTTTGCATTCAATTAGCAGATTAGTCCCACAATAGATACCCTGGCTGAAATGTTAGACATTGTAGGTGGAGCTTCGCTTGATTCAATATTTATATGAGCGGCGAGACACTCGTTACACACGTGCGACGTGTTCTTACATGTGCCGCGCCGACAAAGTGAGAGGAAGGCTTTTTGTCAGCAGCCCATCTGTTTTTGTTTATCTATCGTAACCAGCGATCAGACGTTCGCGAAGAAAAAAGAGCTAGAACACCTGATCATAAGTTAATACGCACAGCTATCGAATGTAATGTCAAGTGCTTGCACGTGAGCTAAGGCATGCGCATGCGCATGTGCAAGCTCTCTCAGAAATTAGACTATGAGAAACTTCAGAGAGTTTCCTTTCAGGTAGCTTTGAACGCCGTCTTTTCTTTTTGCTCCATCTGCCTAAGGTGGAGCCGACTTTTTCTTCTTCCCAATCCCAACATTACAGCCTGATCTTATAATGAATTGAGCCCTATGCTCCCCCGACCAGGAGCCAACGAGTTACCGTTTAAAAGAAACCGCTGTAACTCATTGCACCGATTGGACGTGTTTCACGGTTATCCTTTCCAAATCAATTCCTAACCTAGCAGTCTAAACTCTGAAAGGAAACTGTTTCAGACTTAAAAATTAATACTCTTAACCTAATTCCACCACTAAGCAGTATTTGAGCGCGTTTTATCACGTACAGTGTCATCTCTCTTTTACCCTTCTTTTCTCTTTCGCGTTCGAGGATTATATCCTAAAATAAAGTACATCGGTTTTGAATTTCCTTTTGAGAAGGCAAGCATACCCTATATTCTAGCATTCTTCTTGCTGTAAAACAACGAACTTAATTTCTCTAAGAGTAGATCCGGAGCAGATCTTTCGTGCAGATCCGTGGAATTCTAACTCTCCAGCCTGGCACTGAAGCCAGCAGGACAGTTTGCAAAACGATCCATCGAGATCTAGATTACCCAGGCGTAAGATTTCCTACGTAACGTGCTTAGACAATGACACTTATAAAAAAACAACATTTGGGCTCATTTAACCATTAGATTGCGAAGACAGGGACATGAACTGGGCGCTTTTGTTCTGCCGGGATTAGCGCCATAATCCCACTCTAGACTTTTAACTGACGTCATTGGATCTGGGCAGATGAAATCGAGAGGGCCCATATGTTTTATTTTTTATCTTGCTTTTTTATGTAAGATAGAGTTTATTTTCACTTTTTAGAGTTTAAATTTAAATTTCGCTAGTAACTGAAAATATGTCTGATGGGAGCCGGCTATACGTACGGGTTCAGATGTGCAATTGCGTCCAATATATTTGTATCTATTAAAAACCACGCCTGTACCTTTAACCGTGGTACGCTGAGGCGGTGGCATATGAGGCCAGTGTGGTCTGTCGTGGAGAGTTCAAATACCTATTTACCTAAATTCGGCCAAACTTCTGGCGATATTAGATCACTGACTTGATATAGCGGGAAATCAGGACGGTAGACAGAGTTTATGATTGGCCAAATTTGGGTAAGGTTTCTAGTGAAACTAGTTCCGCACCCCTACCCCATCTCTCATCCGCGGTGCAAAGTTGGTAACTAGATACTGGTAATCAACACAAGCTGAATTCAGTGCAGATTGGGAAAGTCAAATTAAGAGTAACGCACTTGCACAATATAAGAGAACTTAAAAATTCATTTAAGACCCCATTAAACAGTGAATAAGCACTAATCCATTATAAGCCCGGAAAGATCCGACGGTCTTTAGATGTGAGGGTCTAACCTCGATTCACATTTTCCTAAGATCCCTTAGAAGCAATATTATTTACCGTTGATAATGCGAATTTCTTCATCACTTAACAATGTATTTCTTGAAAGACGAGGCTCTTGCAAGAGCTGTCAACCATGTGATTAATTTGTAAATGCCACGTATTGTATTCGCCAATCTTTTGTTTACTCTTGTGTAACATAATTCGCACCCGGGAATTTACATTTAGAAGCGGGGATCGTATTTTAAACATCTTGAATATTTTAGCAGAAGTAATTTCATCACCCGCATTGCTCTTCATGACTAAAGCATTTTAAATCTAAATTAAAAATAAAATGAAACTCTTTTGGCTTTTTTCGCGCTTGTTTGTCGTATATGAATGTGTAAAATCAATATTTGCAACACAGCCTAAATGAACTAAAGTCTTTGATTTCGATTCTAGCTCTGATGCCTTTAACATTTTGAACTTTTACAAGCCTTCAATTCGGTATTGTCTACCGTTTCAGTGTCAAGGTCTTTGGCAGAATGCGCATAACTTGTCTGGAATATGGGAAACGGACATAAAATAAACATGAAGGTGTCCCGGGGGCTACTTTTCTGCGCTCTGATTGGTCGAAAATGTGGCGGGTAATTTGTTCAAATACGGCACGTGCAAAGTGCACGCAAATATTCGCGCAAAAATCAATTCATTCATTTCGCTTGGAGACCTTGAGACAGCGAAGGTCTCGAGCTAGGACGAGATTTCCCATTGAACGCCATTAGAAACTTTGTATTCTCTTTCAATACTGCTTTGTTCAGTCCATGCTTTGATCTATTTAGTAAATGGCAAGTGGAAGGTAAGGGTTCTAAAACTTCAACGATTGTTTATTTTTCGACTACAAATGATTTTGCAAACTTTCCTCTTTGGCAATCGATATCGGCGAGAATTTTCGAGTCACATTCTTTGTGTCGTCCTCGGGCAACTAATCTATCTGCGACTATTCGCGTCAAGAATGTCGAATTTCTACGTATCAGGATATCATTGTGAATCTTACATTGTGAATCTTACATGCTTGTATTATTTCTAGTGACTCTGCAGCGAAAGACCTTCGGCATTTGAGCTTAGAAGCTGTCGAAGAACCGAACACACGAAAGAGAAAGGTAAGGGATAATTCTTTCTAACTCTCGGATTTCTAGCATGGCAAAGTTTCGACCTAGTTGCTGTCCGTTTGCAGAAGGATTCTTGTTCAAGAGGAGCCATAAACAAGCGAACTAGAGCAGGATTACAACAGAAGGTAAAACAATCTTTCGCTTTCCCGCCACAGAGGGAATTACTCCCGCCATTTTGAAGAGTTATTGTTCAGCATGATCGATTGATTCGCTCGAAAATGGCACTAGTTTAGCTTTTAGTGTGTTAGTTGTGGACGAAAAAGGCTTCTTCGCCACTACATATGATGTTTGTATCGAATGTGAAAGATTTGGGACAGTATTCTCGACGTTTTATTACATCACCTCAATGTATTATGAAAACCACCTTGGAGAAAACGTAATCTTGAAAGTCAAGGATTGTGGTTTCTAGAAAGGTTATCTCCATGAATCAACATATTGGCGATCATAACATCTTGAAGGTGAGAAAATTGTCCGAAATGGTCTACATTCTTTGGAATCGACATTGTGATTTGTGTTTCTCTGATTACTAAGCTGGCGTGGTTGGTCTGTTTGCGCCCCCAGTCGGATGCGGGTGGCATTATTCACAAATTGTGCTAAAATCACAATTTGCTATTTGGATCGAAGATGTGAACGATGTAGCGAGAACGGGTGGGTCTGGATGAAGTAAATATATCATTCTATGCTATTTCCATTCGATAAGTTAATTTTGTAATAATTAGCTTGCAAATCAACAAAAAATCTTTTTAAGGTGTCCAATTAAACTAAGATTGAAGGGGCTTGGAAAGCTGCGCTGAGTTCCACGACTTGTATACTTGGTTACTGGTTAAATGTGATAAACAGATTGTTTAATTCCTCATGTCTTGCTTAATACCAATTGTTTTACTTTTTAATTATATATTGAAATTAAATATTTCCATGTGCCTTCATTTGATCTCCAAAGTTACAGTGTATATTGGAAACCTTAGTTGCATCAGTCCAATGAAATGTATAAAAAGCTGACTGTGATTTTTTCGAATTTATTTTTTTTTATTTAATATACATGTACTATACAGCAAATTCTTGGAATTGTGTGGTTGTTTAATAATTGGACATATTATTTTTAACACTTTAAGAAGGTTTATTTGTTTTACATGATAGATTGTTTATAGAGTCTTGATTACAGTGTACCTGATAAGCGATAACAGCAAATTATTTTTACTCAGAGACCACCAGTGTTTATTATTTGTTCTTTCTTTACGCTTAGAACTTCATTTATTTAAATTTTCAAGTATATTTTCAAACAAAATCCCACTGGACATTCAGGTTAACATATTCTCGGAATCGTATGTATAACGTAGTTGTGCGATAACTGATGTTATTTTTGTTTAAGACCTACAAACCAAATATTTTTGCAAAGTTTGTATAATGAGTTGAGGTTAGCTTGCATAGTTAATTCTGCTCCATGGTTAACCTCACCTTGACCTCAATGTTAACCATTAATTTAAGCACTAAAATACTGTCTGAAAATTTTGAGCAAGTGTTAAATAAACAACTTATCCACGCAATTTGTATACCATTCTTTAATGTGTGGATATCATGTCTGCCTCTGATGTTAATCTTGTATTGAAAAAAATGCTTGTTTTGGCTTTAAATATATTGAGCATTTGTGTTCGGTTGACCTCTTAAAAATGATGCCCTGCAGGTGTACTTTGAATGAATGAATATTGACTGCAGGTTGACGTCTGTTAGTTAAGATCACGCTGAGTAGTATTTTTCTTGTTTTGTGATGGTGCATTGTAGTTTGTCCAGAGATGGAGAATTTTTGTGTCCATATGATAAAACTGAATGTTAGATATTAATAACTCCTTTGCCAGTTCACGTAATATCTTAATTGAACTGTTCTGAAATTGCCACTTTGTAAAATCTGTCAGGCTGGGAAGAGCCAGAGGTGTCGTTTTAGCTGTTGGTTTTGACTGTGCTCAGTTTGTCTAAGATTGTAATTCATTATTAGTCTGACAACATCACAGAGTGATTTAGCTTAATTCGTGAAATACTTAAATTACACAATTAGATATCACTAGACAATAATTCTTTTTTCTTTTGTTTAGTTTTTACTCCTCAGCACTAATAATGTTTTGTTTTTGAAGTTGCTTCATGGGTTATTTAAAATCACTTTAAGCTAGTTGCCTCTAACATGGCAAGCAGCTGTAAAGCTATTTTACCAAACAAGAGTTTTAGGGTAGTCAAATATGTCAAAACAAGTAACAGTACACCTGCTTTTAGGCTGAATATCAAGAAATTTAGAGCAGGTTTTAAACTATTGAACTTAATTGTTTATTTGATTGCTGGGAGGCAAAGAAAATACATTTAGATTGATATGGTCCTAAGAAGATTTTTGTATAGAGCAAACGTGATGTACATTGAGTGCTCGTAATAACCAGTATGTCAGTTGTAGTCATGTTATGGGTGGGGAGTCTCTGATTCCTCGGAGTCTATGAACCTATTTGTGCTGAACTATATGGGTAAACTCGTAATATCTATTGGAGTATTCAACATTTTTTTCTCCTAGCAGTATCAAAGTTATCAGCCAGTGGATAACTTACAAGGAGTTAAGAAAATTGTCATTTAGCAAGGGGATTATCATTTTCATTCAACACAATACTCATAACTGCACGTATTCCAACTTTTTTTTGGTTTTCTGCATGTAACTGCAATTGCCACATCTTCGATGTGAACATACAACTTAAAGAGAGTAAATAAAATTGTCAAGTGGCAAGGGGGTTATCTTCATTCAACACAATACTCATAACTGCAAGTATTCTATCATTTTTTTTTTATTTTCTGCGTGTGACAATTTTGACATTTTCAATCTGAGCGTACAACATTGTAGCTTTCCTTAGTGTGGTATCAATGTTTAGCCTAGTGGAGAATTTGCTGAACATTTGTATTTTGACTGAATTGCAATTAATAGCCAAATGCATGTTCCAAGCCAGTTGAAACGTGTAAATAAATTGGATCATGTGTTTTAAAGGCATCCACGGTTGAGTGTCAATCGATACCCTCGATTGATACTTGATCAGTGCTTCAGTTGACACTCAATCGGCACTCCATCGACATCTCGGTCAACAGTCAGTTGAGAGTCGACCAAATTTTCAATCAATTCATGTGAGTCAGTCGACACTTGACCGACTGTCAACAGAGATGTCGATTGAGTGTCAATTGAGTGTCAACTGAAGCGTCAATTAAGTGTTGATCGACA